GGGAAAAATTTAAAAACTGCATGGCACTTTACTCCAATTGGCTCATTTGCTTGCTTAAACTCAACATTGATTCTGATTCCGCAGAACTGGGTTTGGTGTGAAAAAGTATTTGTTGTTAACATTCTTTTTTCATTCAACTTTTTTTTCATTCAGTTCCAGTTATGAGTCCTTTTTAAAGCCATTTTGTTATTTTGAGTCCTTTTTTTTAAAGCTGATCATTTTGTGTTCATTTTGTTTAGTTCTTTTTTTTGTATAAGATTTAATGTTTAGAATAGAGCAAAAGATATATATATATATATATATATATATATATATATATATATATATATATATATATATATATATATATAAAAAATTGTCCTGATGTGTTATAGGCAAGAAGACCCTCTAAGGCATATACTCAGTAACATCATGTCCATGGCAAAGGGCCCGATTTCCAAACAGGCCAAAGAAAACAGTTTCACTTGCACCTTGGGGTTTGGGCTTAACATTGCACCCTGATAATGTGTGGGCCCCCACACTGTGGTTTCGCAGAAGATGAGAACATCAATGAAGCTACATCTTCATACATTGATAATGTATTCGTCAATGAGAACATATGTCCTGCATCTCACGTAAAAGAGCACCTTGAGAGGTTTGGGCTTACATGTAAGACCCCAGAGCAGTTATCGAGTGGCACACACTTGTTAGAATTGCATGTCTGGGAGGAGTGCAACAAGCTTCAGTGGAGTTGTGGAAGTAAGCTGCTGACGTTGTCCGATGAACTAACACGTCAAAATATTTTCTCTGTGTGTGGGAAATTTTCCAGTGTGCGGCTAGCTACGTGTTGCGACCACGTTCATAAAGCGTAGAGCAAATGCCATGACAACTGGATAGGACGATAAAGTACGAGACCCCCTCCTGAGCTGGATGTTGGCAGATGTTTTTGCCAGAGTGGTGCAAACAGATCCAGCGGATGGTGACTGGTGTGTTGATAGACAGGACATCACTGTGTGGGTGGATGTGAGCTCATTAGCCACTGGAGTCGCTAGTTGGCTGCAACCAGTGAGTGAGAATAAGCACATCAACTTGGCAGAACTCAACGCAAGTGATTCACCTGAAGACTCGGTGTGTGTGTATCGCCGGGTCTCAGACACGTTATCCGGAAAGTTGAGGGTACAAACCAATGCTGCCACCGAGATGCTGGTCAGGCACTGGCTTGGCACGCTTTGACAACTGGCCTCAGAATATGAGCTGAAGGTTGATGTGGCATTGGTTAAGTCTCATGATAACTGGGCCGATCAGCTCACTAGGGTGCCACAGCGATGGCTGGATGATATTCAGAAAGAGACGGAAACTGTAGAATGAGCATGCGCTGTGGCTGCAGAAGGCGAGGAGTCTGCTCGTATACGAGCCATTCATCAGACTAGTGGACACCGTGGTGTGAAGCGCACACTGTACTTTGCAAAATTGGTCATCCCTGGAGTTTCCAGAGCGGCTGTTCGAGCAGTAGTCATGGATTGTAGGGAATGTCAATCCATAGATCCTGCCCCAGTGCATTGGAAGCCAGGCAGGCTTTCTGTTCATGACAATTGGAGCAGAGTGGGAATGGATGTGACCCATTTGAGGGGCCAGCACTATCTAATGCTGATAGACTGTAGTCCTAGGCGGTTTGTGATTTGGAGGCCATTGCAGCGCCAAGACTCAACCAATATCATTTGGCAGTTGGAGACCATCTTTTTCGAAAGTGGACTGCCAATTGAACTGCTTGCCAACAATGCAGCAGTGTTTTGTGGGAAAGACTTGTGAAGGAATGGGGCGTCCGGATAAGATACTGATGTGCCCACGTACTATTGGAGAATGGAATAGTAGAAAGATCCCACTGCACGATAAAGCGCATCGCTGTGAGAACATAATGCTCTCTTATGGAGGCAGTATACTGGCAGAATGTGACACGACAGGACGACACCACTGCTTCAACAATGCCAGCCAACTTAATTTATAGCTATCACATTCGCATGAAGGGCATTAATACCACACCACCACCTGCTGATGTCGCAGGTTCTGGATCATACACTACAGGAGATGTTGTTTGGGTGAAGAGACTGCATGGGCGGTGTACAACAAAGTTTGAGAAGGGGAAAGTGACGAAAGTCTATGGCCCTCATTCAGTCCTTGTAGACAGAGTACTACGCCATGTAAAAGATGTTCGTCTGGTGCGTGGGGTTGAGACTACCAGCAGCCATGATACCACCTCAGATGAAGAAACCACTATGGTGTATGAGGAGAGGTACAGGAAGACACATCTTCAATGGAAAATGCAAGTGGCATCTTTGAACAAGATCAACTCGGCGATACGGCAGAGGAAAGTACAACTGTGAAAATAGCTGACCTCACTCCACTCCACTGAGATGAAGTAGCAAGATAAAACGACATGCACCATGCTGCCATTTGTGTGATCCTCAGATCAGGGAGAAGTGTGATTGTCATGAGCAAGATACGCAACATCATGCCTGAAAATGCCCATGCATTGCATGCGTATGGTGTCGCAGAGCAGTTGGAGGAAGGGAGAATTGGCGGATTGCGCCTACGCATATGTAAATCTCTCCCACTCGACCAATTGGCTGCATCGTTATGGTCTATAAAATGAGTGTGTTTGAAGGCTTTGGCAGTCAGGGGCTGAGGGAGTCGATGAGGACGACGAGAGACGCCTGCCCTGTATGAGAGACGACTGCCCTGTTCCAGCGGGTCCTTTTTGGCGTGACGGCTAGATTCTTTATTATTAATTGTTATCATGATGGTTATGGAATATTAAAGTTATTTTATATATTCAATTTTTGTAGTGATTAAATTTTATTATTAATTTATGTAATTGTTTGCACTTTCATTATTTTAATCCAATACTCTATAAAAAAAAAGTATTTAGTGAAATAGTAATTAAAAAAAGTGAAACTTAATTTGAAATTTTGAAGGGATGATTTGTAAAGACATCAACACGAAACACAGAAATGAATAATGAAAGAATTGCAGATTGCCAAATTGTTTTGTAGGGTAGGACAACTCTTAAATGCATGACCTTTTAATGTCATGTTTTACCAAAATGGAAATATTCATACACAAAAAAATTTTTTTTTTAAATATTGGGTGGAAACAACTTATTGAGCTTTTCAATTTTTGATTTGTAAATATAGTTTCACTTAATAACAATATCACCTAACTGGATTGAAGTAATGCTGAATTTTAAATTATTTATATTATAAATTACTATAATTAAAATTTAAAAAAAATGAAAACAATTCTTGTAAAAAATTTGTTCTTCATTGAAAAAAATTTTTTTCTTAAGACGTATCCTTAATAAATCTTATTTGTAAAAGCAATTAAAAACCTTTCAAATTAAATAATGTCAGTTTTATTGCATTTTTTATTTTACGATTCAGAACAGATTTTTGGTAACTGAGCTGGGTGTCCTGTTTTTTATAGATTGGAAATAAATTTGGGGATAATCAAAATTAATTCTGAAATCCAGCAAAAGTCAGCCATAAAATAAAAATAATTGTTTGTATAGAAAGTAAGGACCTATGTACATGAAATTGTCTTTAAGTGACAGCAGAAGAATTATCGTTGAACTTTTAAAAGGTAAGGTTAAAATATTAATACTATACTTAAATGCAGCGACCAATTTTGAGTTCTTCTGTACTTTATTGTTGCCTATGGCATCTACTCCTCCCTACTTATTGTGATGAAGGCCCAATCAAGTACCCTCTGCAGGAGCTAGCTTAAATGACACCTAATAGGGCGAATTTTAAACTAGTATGAATATAAAATATCACACATTAAGTGTATATATATATATATATATATATATATAGCAAGTGGAAATCCAGGGGAAGTTAAATTCACTTTTTAGGAGATTTGATTGAAAGATTAAATTTATTTTTAGAAATTTATCTTAAATTATATTAATTCAAAATTCAACTCCTTTAAGAACAACATTATTTCCATTTTCTAATTAAGTTTCCTGGAGAGTGGATGCAAAACTCAGAGTAGACAAAATAAGTGAACATTTAATTTTATTTTGTAATATGTATAGAAAAAAGACACACCTCGCTTATATCATAACACTTTCTTTATGTCACAGCACTCACTAGTTCTATGAAACTAACTATTTATCTCTACCTACCCTGTAAATACATGCACACATAAACTTACATTTTACACATCAATTCTTAAAATATATATATACACACACTATATACAACTTCCAATAAATCCAGATGTATATATCTTAACTAATTTTTGCACACATAACATGACGACATACATACACACATATATATATATATATATATATATATATATATATCTGTGTGTGTAAAATGATACATGGCAGCATTTGAAATTAATCTGGTTCAACATTTTTCAAGAGGTATTTCTTTTTTTTTTCCTACATGTGACCATTGATTCATTTCTTTTGTTTAGTAAATTAAGGTTTATATTTTTTAGAATGGTCAATTTTTCTAGAAGGCAAAGATTCAATCTTTCATGTTTACCATTGTAAGATTTAGTTCTTGCTATTATTTCCCACATCATTTCTGGTACAGTTCCATGATCTTTTATTTGTGGGTGAAGCAAAAGACAATGTATATTTATTATTAGTATAAATTATAACTCTGTTATTATACATCAAGCACTATTTTATTAGTACCAACATTCAATGTGCGATATTTTATATTCATTTATTTATATATATAACATTTAATACAAATATGAAATTTGTCACTTAGCTGGTTGATGTTATTTTCAGAATCCTGACAGTAGTATTTTGTAGACAGACCCTCCAGTAATCGCTAAGTTCATTTGGCAGGAGATACCTGCAATTGGCTGTTTTTCGTCACTTTTTATATTCAGTTAAAAAAAAAAATTCTGCATGTTTTCATTTGTGCCAGTTGGTTGATTTTTTTTTTTCATCTTTCATTGTGTAGAAGGTTGTGGTTCTCTCTTTCTCTTTCTTTACAGTGGCTTATGGCCATATCCTGTTGAGACATTGGTTCCCATATGATAACCAAAGTTAAGCAATGTTGAGCCTAGTCAGTACCTAGATGAGTGACCACTTGGAAATACCAAGTGCTGTAAGCTTGGATGTGCATGTGGTGTAATAGATAACAACTTGAAATTGCTAATCAGAGAGTTGAGTTCCAATTTATGCTGGGTTTGTTATATTCACACACAAATACCTTTGAAAAAAGTATGAATCCACCTCTTTCCCCTCTATCTTTTGTCTTTATTCATATTGTCCTTAAAAGGACAATATGAATAAAGACAAAAGTAAAACTTATCTTAGCTAAAGTGTTTTGTCCTGTAACCTTATGAATATTTGAGTTTTCTTAAATTAAAAACTTTGTAAAAACAATAACATTTTTGCTTTTGTCTATAAATACTTGTTACAAAATAAAATCCTTACATTTGCCTTGATAAAGTCCATTACAGGACAAAACACTTTAGCTAAGATAAGATTTCCTTTAGTCTATATTCACATTCTTTTATATTAGTTAATCATTCCAGACATTTCATTTGTTTCAATATTTGACTTGCATATTCATAATACATTAAACACTTCTTGAATTACACTTATGTAAGGTCTTTACCTTTCTTTTTAATTTTATTGTACATTTGATTAGTGTAACAATTTTAGGGAGAAGCTAATTTATAATTAAAGAATAGGAATTGCATCTTTTCACTTATTCTGGGAGAATGCTCATTTAAAACTTATAAAATAACTTGAAGTATTAATTTCTGGGTTTATGGCCATGTTACATTGAAACACCAGTTCCCGTATGATCAACAAAGTTAAGCAACATTGAGCCTAGTCAGTGCCAAAATGTGTAGCCATTTGGGAATACCAAGTACTGTAAACTTGGATGTGTAGGCAGTGTAATGGATAATGGCTCAGAATTGTTAATTGGAGAACTGAGTTCCAATTTTAGTTGGGTTTGTTATATTCACTTATTTGCAAATACCCTTATGAAAGGTATGAATCTATTTCTTCTCCCCAAGTTATGGATTAATTAGACTTGTATCACTAAATCATTATCTCCCCCTCCAAATTCTTACAATTTAAAAATATTTTCTGATTTTAAATAACCTGCAAATAGACTTGATCAATCAATTAGCTTCTGTTATTTATATATAAAAATTTTATCATCCATTAAAAACAAATTAACAAGAAAATACCCAAAATGAAATTTTTAAAAGTTGAATTGAAAGTAAGGTTGGTTGACTTTAATATCACATCAATCTTTATTCACACTATCTGACAGCCCTCATTCATAGTGTGATTACTTGTGTCTTCATATCTAAGAAATCATAAGAACAAAACCAGTAAATTCCTCTTGTTCGCCATGGTTTTGAATTCAGACTAGTTTTCTACTAAAGCTGGCTGCAACCTCAGGCTACAGGGCCCTGTCTATGCTGCTGTTCAAGCCATAATTGTAAGACTAGATAAATACATACCTTTTCCAAGGGCATTAGTATGAAGTGAACGTAACAGACTAGGCTGAAAATTGAACTCAGCTTGTGGATGCCACTTACTGTGCTGATAAATGTTATGCAACCTGCACATGATTTCCCTTGTTAATCACTTTAAATTCTTACAAAAAACGGTAGTTTGGTAAAAATGAAAAAATACAAAAACAAAGTTGAAGAAATGTACTTGCAAATGAATGGTGTGTCAAAAGGACATTTTTTTTTCTTGATTTCGCTATTACTGTATACTTCATTGGCTATTTTTATTTTTCGAATTTTAATAAAACTCAAACATGAAACTGAATTTATGCATTCCCTTTTTCATCAAGAATTGACAATAAAAGTATTAAGCACTGTTCTTGCAAATAAACTGTCTAATAAATTGTTGTCAATTCTTGGGAAAAAATGTATAATTCCAGATGCTTGCAACTTATTTCACTTAATTTGTGTAGCAAGATCAATTGAAAGAAATTCCCAGAAAATGCATGGTTTCAAAATTTCTAATTACATTTACTCATTGTTATGTATTTATTGAAATTTTCTTGTTCACAGACATTTTTATAAATTTATGAATAAAAAAAAATTGTTTTCATATTTATTTCCTTATATGATAAATAAATATTGCATTGTATTTTTCATTAATATGAAATTATTTTTGTAAATAAACAACCAAATCAAATAGTGTCTAACATTTTTGTTGTAATTTGTCAAAAAAAAAGAATGTATAAATCTAGTTTCATATGCTTGGGTTTATTAAAATAGCTTTTTAAAACAAGAAAAATGAAAGAAACATCCTTTTTACACAACATTTTGTTGTAGGTATGTCTTTTAAACTTTACCAAAAAAAAAAAAAAAAAAAAAGAAAAAAGTGTATTATTCATATCTTGCAGGAGTTTAGAATTGATATTTTTTTTCACTATGTGAAACATTACTCCATATCCTTTTTTCTACAGAGTGATACTCATTGCTTATTTGTCATATATCATACCTTATTTCTTACAATATGTTATGCACATAGCTTCATATTTTAGTTTTTCTTTCTAATGTGTGATGCACATAACTTCATATATTTCTTTCTTTCCAATGTATGATACATATGGCTTCATATCTTTTCTTTCTTTCTAATGATGCACCTTAAGGCAGGGTGATTTTTTACTGCTTTTAGAAAATCAACATTGCATTTCATTAGATTCATAGCTTTTACCAATTTTTGAGCATTTAGTTTTAAAGATTGTCTGAAAAATGTACAGGATACCTAATTTCTGCTGGTTTTTACTTAGAAACTGACTTCAAAATTTTACAATTTTAAGAATAAATCTGAATAAAGTTGATATTTTTTTGAATTAGATTCATTGAATGGAAAATATATTCAAACCAGAATTCTTATTATGAATCATCACAAGCAATATATGCAATCCTTTTACTCTATTTGATAACTAAAAACTGTAAAAATTGTAAAAGATTACAAAAAAGGCTAATCAATTAATAAGATTTTACACCATATATTAGGTCATAAGTAATAAAAACCAAATGTAGATAAAAGTGTATATAGCACCATTAATATTGCAGTGCACAAATTATAAGACAAAATGTTTTAAATTTAAATAGTTTATTGAAAAAAAACACTAAAACTACTGCACTGTATAACATACTACATCATAATATAGCTAAATTGTCTTATTTGATGGCGCAATAACTTAGTAGCAATGTGCTTGTGCTTTTTGTCCATTTGCAATTTGTGAAGCTTCAGTAATTAATTTAACTGCTCTTTCCACATTTTGTGAATGTGCAAACAAATTTGGCAACTCTAATGTTCCATTCATTACTTGAAAAACCTGGAAGTACACATTCACAAACTCCATTTCATGAGAAGTTAAGCAAATTTGACCAGTGTATCACTTCAGAGTTGAATGTAATTTTAAAAATTTTTCTCTGGTGGTTCACCACTTTTGAAAAAAAAAAAAAATTGTGCTGTAAATTTTTTAACGCAGCATTTTGTATTTTGGTCAACTGTTGATTTATTCTCTGGATCATGTTGAAGATATACAGTTTTTAATTATGGAAATTGTTATCCCTTTTAATTTCAAACCAACTAAATGCAAATATTTCAATTATAAATCTTATAAGGCTGTACAATTTATCATAAAGTTCTGGTGGATATAGGCACCTCTGGTCTATAAACATTATCTTGATAGCTAAAGTTACCCATCTTTCTTGATTTAGAGATTCAGTTTTCCAGGCAACAAATCTATGGTTCACTTTCCCAAGAGAAATTCATGCATTATATTCTAAGAACAGTCTCTGGTCACCACTCAACTCTTCAATTGCCCCTGCAATAAGATAGAAGTTATCTTGATGGCTATTGATAGTGTTAAATTCTACCTGGGGCAAATTCTGGTAAACATTTACGTAAAGTTTCCCTAGAGGACCGCTAAAAGTAGTAGTTCCAGCAATATACTTAAAAACATCTCTAAGTGGAAGTTCATTTGAACTGCCAATAGTGTGTAAATTCTTTTTAAGTTGTTTTCTCCAGAGCTATAACAAGACCTGCCTTACAACCAGTGTTTGTACTGGTACTGTCCACAAGAACTATCTTAATGGAATTTATGCTATTAAATTCTTCTAAAACAGCAGCAACATCCTCTGTTAGAACAACACCAGTTGCACCATTGTTAGAGATAACTCTGGATGACATATCTACTTTCCATGTCCATCTCTGGTAAAAGTCAACTGATGTTCTGGTCCTTTGGTTTTCTTAATTTTTTTTTCACTGTTTTCCTCTGTAATCTCTTTGTATTGCAAAGTGTCCTTATCTGCAATTAACACCAATGCAGATGATATTTTCATAGTTCTGAACATGCTTTTGATGGGTGGTTACTTTTACTCTTGCCTTTTCCTTGTCTATTTTAGATTTATCAATGGCAATCTCCTTTAAGTTAAGGCTTGGATGAAGAAAGTTCATATCTTGTAGGTTTAATAAAAAGGGATTAGCAAGCCATACTCCAAGGTAGAAAGATATATAACCCTTAATAAGTTCCATGGCATATATAGGAACTTTTAGAAGAGTAACTTTCTTTATACTGTCTCCCTGGCTCAAAACTGTCATCACTTGTTTCTTTACTGGAAAACATTGGTGGAAAAATATCTGATGTAGAATCAACATCCTGCTGTGTTTATTTTTCAATCAGCCTAATCTTTTTGCTTCAGCTACATTTTTTTGATATTTTTTCACACTATCTTTGTCAATAGTTGCAAATTGGAAACTGCTTTTTTGGTCCTGTCTTCTCTCTCTTAGCTTTTAAATATTCCCTTTCTTCAATAGAAATCTGAAATTTCAAAATGTGTGTAAGTTTAAAATCAGATCTAGCATACATGATAAATATGAAGGAAAATATCACAATATTATTTACCAGAGAAGTGATGATTATCAGAGGTAAATTTACATTTTTCAATTAATTCAAATTTTGAAAATCAGGATATGAACTAGTTCAAATTAAACAAAAAAAAAAATGAAAATCAGGTACAAAATTATATTAACTTCTTGTGAGGAGGACAAGTGTAAGCATTAATCTATTTTAATAAAATTTCAAAGGTAAATTTGAAATAAGAAAAATAGAAAGAAACAAAGTTTTCTTACCTAAATGCAAATATATTTTCTTCCATGGAAATAAACAATATTTTGAATACAAACTAGTCAATTTGAAAATAAAAAATTATGTAGATTGAACAAAATGTTTACTTTCTTTTTCAAATAATTAAGTTTGTTGTATAAAAATACAAAAGAACTACTTTAACAGTAACAAATAAACAGTGGTCAAGATTTCAATATTGAATATAATAAAATAATGGCAAAGGTTTATAACAGTGAGAACTTAGATAATACCCATTGGAAGAAAGTTCTGGAATAAGATTCATAAACCAAATATATTTATTTCACTACTGTTGATTAAAATGAAGAAATTTTATTTTTTTCATGAAGTTTTATGTTTTTATTTGTTTTTTTTTTATATAAAATTAATCTATTTTATTTTACACTGAAAAATAAGAAAACTTAAATTGCATATGACAAAAAAATGTAATTAATTTTCATCGCTGGACACAACCTAAATACATTTATACATTGTATTTAATCTTCATTTTACCTTTATAAAGTGAATATTTTAATATTCATAATCCTGATCTTTGATTTATTGAGGTAAATGTTGCAATTGGAAAACATTTTATTAAATGACATATACACATTGGTTTTTCATAGAAGTACAGAATTTTTTTGACTGCATTAAATATTTCACTGATCATCAGAATGGAAATTCCACTGCTTGAATTTTGAAATTAAATTTAATCTTTAAACTTGTTTCCACAAAAAAATGGTAATGATTTGGAAAAAGATTTTGTCATTATTTATCATGTCAAATTGCAACTTTCAAATTGAGTGCAATACTATAGTTCCAGAATTGACCTGCCCTAATGCACATATCTTTATTTTTCTTTCTTTCGAATGTGTGATGTATGATGGCTTTGTTCTTGCTTTTTCTTTCCATCCAATGTGTGATGTATGATGGCTTTGTTCTTGAATTTTCTTTCTTTCCCATGTGTAGTGCACATAGCTTCATTATTGATTTTTTTCTTTCCTTCCAATGTGTGATGCACATGGCTTCATATCATGGTTTTTCTTTACTTCCAATGTGTGATGCACATGTCTTCATATCATGGTTTTTCTTTCCTTCAAATGTGTGATGCACATGTCTTCATATCATGGTTTTTCTTTCCTTCAAATGTGTGATGCACATGTCTTCATATCTTGCTTTTTCTTTCCATCCAATGTGTGATGCACATGTCTTCATATCTTGCTTTTTCTTTCCTTCCAATGTGTGATGCACATGTCTTCATATCATGGTTTTTCTTTACAATGTGTCATGTCTTTCATGGTTTTCTTTCTTCCAATGTGTGATGCACATGTCTTCATATCATGGTTTTTCTTTCCTTCCAATGTGTGATGCACATGTCTTTCTTGCTTTTTCTTTCCTTCCAATGTGTGATGCACATGTCTTCATGGTTTTTCATTCCTTCCAATGTTTTGTCTTCATATCTTGCTTTTTCTTTCCTTCCAATGTGTGATGCACATGTCTTCATATCATGGTTTTTCTTTACTTCCAATGTGTGATGCACATGTCTTCATATCATGGTTTTTCTTTCCTTCCAATGTGTGATGCACATGTCTTCATATCTTTCCTTCCAATGTTTGCACATTTCTATCCTTTCCTTCAAATGTGAGATGCACATTGTTTCATGTTTTTTTTTTTCTTTCCATCCAAATGTGCATTGTCTTCATATTTTTTCTTGATTCCTTCCAATGTGTGATGCTTTAGATGTTGTTTTTCTTCTTGAATGCGAGATACATATGGTGCAGGTCTTTTTTTTCTTCCCAATGTCAGATACACCTTGCTTTATGTTGTTTTTCTTTCTTTCCAATGTGAAATGCACATGCCTTAATAACTTGTTTTTTTTCCAATGTGAAATGCATGTTGCTTCACCTTTTTTTTCTATCTTTCAGTCATGAGTTATGCATTGCTTCATCTAATTGCTTTCTTCTTTCCTGTATAGTGATACATGTTTTTACATCCCTTTTTTTCTTCTCTCTCTTTTCAGCGTGTGATACACATTGCTTCATCTTGCTTGTCTAAAAGAAGACAGAAAAAAAACATGACAAATTCAGAAAACAAAATACCACCACGGTGGCTGCGTTGTCCTCGCAGAGGAAAGCTAATAGATCAGAAATTTTTACCATTCAAAACTATCTTGGATTCCAGATATGATGATCAAGTGGATGTACCAAACAGACATAATATGAAACTATTCTTTGATAGTCTCAAACATTATAATGTAAGTGCTCAATTTTTTTCTTTATCTACTATGTTTTGTCTCTATTTATAAATATTTAAAATAAAAAGCATTTTTAAAATATATTATAATTCTGCTTGTTCCTTAGCTGCATATGTTGCACCCTGACAAAACCTCATAGATAATAGACTATTCCAGTTGGATTGTGAGGAAAAATGGAAAAGGCCTATCAATGATGCTGTTTGGTTTCAGTGAGAAAAAGAATGAATAAATGAGAAGATAGAAAAGGTGATAACACTCTCAAGTGTTTAGCATCTGCTTCAGTGAAATACTTGTCTATTTCAGCTCTTTTCATTTGTACCCTCTTCTTTAAATAGTAATCTGCATTCATATTTATGATTGTTATTGCAATATTTTGTTAAAGTTCAAATATTTAACAAAATATTTAACAATAAGAGAATTTCCATGTTTATAGTTGTGCAACTTGCAAGGAGTTTATTCAATTTAACTTAAGAATTAAGATTCATCATAAAATATTTCACAGGTATTTCTAGTTTGTATAATTTTTCAGCACATATCAATTGCATTTGGCTGAATACGTCCCCTGTATTTATACTGTCATCTATATTACCAGAACGTTCTAGTAATTCTTAAAACTTTTAGAAACTTCTCAAAAGTTCTAGAAAATTCTCCTTTTGCAACTCAGCACTGAATCTGTCTAGAATGTAATGGAAAATAAGTTAGTTTCAAAACATTGATGTCCAACCCACAAAAGCAAAGTTTGCAAGGAATAATTTAAATAATTAAATTAAATAATTTTAATAAATTTTCTTTGCTTTTTAGACAGAAACAATTAGGAAATAGCATTTACTGACCAAAGACCAAAAAAAAAATCAAAATTTTGTTACACTTATGAAAATTAAAAAGACCTTTATTTGTATTGAAGTTGGGGCAACAACCACATAAGCTGATATATGTCTTGGAGAATTATTTTGCTGAAAAGTTCCATCTTGATAACAGCATTTAACCTTTGATATCCACGTTAGATTGAATTTAATGTTCTTATTTTTAAATATTTATTCTCAAAATATTTTTGTGTCAGAGTTTTTATATTGTTGAACTTACATTAAAGAAATGAATAAAAGAGGGATGATACAAAACAAAATCATAAATAAAAGATAGAATGAATGAATGTATAAAAAAATACTGTACATTTCTGCATATGAGACAACCTTTAAATCATATAAATCACCCTTAAAAATCGGGGGTCGTCTTATACTACAATTTAAAAAGGAAACCTTAAATTCTGAGTGATGTTTGTTTGTAGGCTAAGCTTGGTCTTGGAGCGATAACCAATAATGTACATGAAAAGATTCACATTATCAAATAAACTGATTATTAAAGTAATAAAACCATTTTTAACTTATATATTACTGGTATAACTTCATAATAAATTGACTATTCGAAGAAAAATTCCCTATCGATGAAATCACCTTGTATCAATGCAAGCTCAGCTGAGAAAATGTAACCATCGATTTATGATTGCATTCACAGCAACCTTTATCTTTTGCTAAACTTGTAATAATCATTATGGTGGTGTTAATTATGGAAGTAATAACTTTTAGGATAACATATTCATTTCTCATTAAAAATTCATTATCATTTTGGTGTTAAATAACAACACAATTTAGGATTACATACAACCTTTATTTCTCAAATAAAAATCCTTTTATGGTTACTGCATTTAAAACTTTTAGGATATTATAAAACTATTTCCCATTAAGTTAACAATATTAATGAAATGAAACTGCTACATGTATATCTAAAACCCATCAAATTTCTTACAATCATCAGTATCTGTTTCAAAAAGTTTCTCTTACACAGCACGATATTCATCATATATGCCTTTATTGTAGGGATTCCAGTTCAATTCTGGTGAGTCAACCTTGGCTTCATCGTCACTGTCAAACAGTAGATCATCAATAACTTTCAATATAAACCTCGCTTCATAATTTGTTTTTCTGGTGGTTTCATGATTGATATGGGTATAAGTTAACAAGAAATTTCAACTGGCTTAGACAGGAACAGACTGAATAAAAAAAAAATGTTGAAAGTGGAATGTACTATTGTACATTATCAGTGGTATTTTTTGATTGCCAATGAAGTATAAGTAAATGGCCATTAGCACACCAGACTGACTGTTTAGATATAAGAGAGAAGGAAGAAGAATCAGTATTCGCAAGAGATCATGGGATGAAATGTAAACAAAATAATAGTTTCCCTTTTAGGGGATGTGTGTGTAGGAAAAACAATATTGAATCGATTTTGTTATTTTGAATTTCTAAGGATACAGAAGTAATATCACACGACATTTCCAGTAATATCATTTTTATATAATCAATAAGCAGTTGTCTTATACTAGAGTTATAGGATAAATTCATGAAAATTTGCTATATTTTTTGACCTCTTATCTTTTTTTTTTAAGCAGTACTGATAGATAACTTCATTAGTCAAAATGTTAAAGGTTAAGAAGTAGTTTTTAAGTAATACAGTTTTTTTTATATAAGATAATTAATCAAAACAAAACTGAATATTGTTAAAAATAAGGCACCTAACATTGTTTGGCAAAAAACTTAGGGTGTTGAAGTTTAAAATTTCAAATTACCTCCTTGATTAGCTGCTCAAGCTGCTGTTCATCTGATAACCTGAAAAAAAAAAAAAAAAGAGCAGTCCCACATGGACCATTTAAAAAAATCAGTCCACGCATTGGATTGGTTGTTATGAACATCCAATGCGTGTAGAACATGGTCTACTTTCATCCAATTAATATAAAGGCTAGAATCTTTGTTTGATAATGAAGGGGGGATCAGGGCTTGATCTTCACTGATTGGGGTCAGCTTGATGATGGGGTGTATGATGTTGAAAGACCCAGAACTCCCTGATGAACCAAATCAATTTACATCATTGACTCTCTCCTCTGGTGTCCTACTTAGGAATGTATAGTAAAAAAAAAAAATAATGGTTGCCTTATATGGTACTGAAAGAAAGGGTTATGAGTCTCCAACAGGAATGAAACTGTGATAAAATCTAATTTTAATCCACTCAAAGTAGAGGGTTACTAAATAGGGTTGTGATATGGATGTGGGCGGAGGAAGTAAGTGCAGATTATAAGGATATGTACAATAGGTAATGGCTAAGAGGTTAAGATTGTTGTGTTTGGGAAGCACCCTCTCGGGAGTTTTTTTCATAATGTAGTGGCTCCTAGGAAGAAGCTGTCTGAATGGAACTTTTGTTTTTACCAAAGGAATACAAAAGGAATGAGGATGGTTCGACCCCGGGAATGTGACATAGTGTGTCTTAGCTCTAAATATCTGAATTGGTGGGATTCCAGAATGTCATTTGTCAACTTTTTCCATGGAAATAGTGATAGAGTAACAATAGGTTTGCAATGTTGTGTCTGTAGTATAGTTGTAGAGTGAAAAATAATTAATTGCCTATAAGGTCGTTTAAATGCTTTTGTACTCTGTCCAGGCTGGAGATTGAGGATTGGGCAGCACCATGGTACTTGTATTTGAATAACGATTTGGTAAATAAATTTTTGGCAAACTTTAACTTTTGTGCCCACAAAAAAATGGTACATCAAAAGGATTGATTTCTCTTGACTCCACTATTATTTTGAACTGCTTACACTCCTTCAGCAATTTTATTTACAAGATTATAAAAATATGTGAACCAAGTACAATGTGATATTATTTAGCTTTAATAAAGATTTATTATTTACCATTTTATAAAATCTTTTTATTCAAAAATTTTGAACAATAATTGTCAAAATATGTAAACCATCTATAATACAATATATATTATTTACCATTTTATAAATAATTAAGAAAATAAGTCTTTTTATTCATAATTTTATGAAATTAACAATGAATTGCTGCAAGGCAGAAATGCCAAGAAGATACATTTTTCATAGTTTTTAATTACAGTTAATCGTCCTTTTTCATGTTTGACAGACTTTTATAAATTTATGATTGAAAAAATTTATTTTCTTATTTCTTTATAAATTGATAAATGATAAACATTGATAAGTTGGTTTGCAATTTTAGAATGTTGTAAATATAAAATTATTCTTGTAAATAAAAAAAATCTAATAAATAGTGTTTAATATTTTTGTTGTAAATTCTCAAAGAACAAAGAAAATATATAAATTTATTTTCATTTATTAAAATTCTAATCATCGCTTGTTAAAACAACAAACATTGCTGATGGAGTTAAGGTAGTTAAAATAATAGCAATGTCAAGGGAAAATCTGTCTTTTTGAAACATTGTTTTATGGAGGCACAAGAGTTAAAGTTTGCCACATTTTTTTTCTTTATGATCAATGACATCTTTGCGATATAAAGTATTATAATTTTAATGTGCTTTTTTGCTGATGTAAGTAAATTCTTTTTGGGTGACTATTTGATTTTCAATTGTTGCTCTCTAACTGGTATTAATAACTTCCCTTTTGATCATTCCATCCCATCATATGAGATTTTTGCCATGAGAAGTTGTGAAAGAATGATGCTTTACTTTCAGATTATGCTCCTTTTCATGGTAGGTTAGACTAACCCAGATTGATAAACACCTGATGAAGGCTGGAGGGAACAGCATCCAAAACATTGTGATAACAACAACAAACAATAGTCCGAATATAAATTGTGTAATTAAAACTAATGAGGCACTTGAGATTTTTATACTGTGAAATTCATCCATCACTGAAATATTTTATATGTCTGATATGTGGAAGTTTAAGATGAATAGCTCTTAGCAAGAAAACAATGGACTACAGGTTGATCACTTTCAAATTATCTGACATTGCACAATGTCACATATCAAATTATTACTGATATCTTTGTGATATACTGGAAGAATAGTGGCTTTACTGTTTTGCCAGTAGAAACCAGGAATTGCATCTTGAACAACACAACTATAATTCTCTGCAGAATCTATTAAATAATGATTAAGTTCTCTTTTATTACCTTAAGATTTACTAATTGGGA